CCCCCCCCCCCACATAAAGAACAGTTGCGCCTCTGTCTGCGTTTCTAAGGATTACTAGCTACGGTACTGAACGTACAATATTTGGGTTTATTTGTGAACTTAGGTATTCAGGTAATTAGGTATTCGGGTATGAATGGTGTATGAACATGAATATATTTTTTTTTACTTTAGAAATATTTTTATTTTAGTTAAGGGTTGTGGGGTTAAGCAACACACATAAAAAAACCGATACATTAGGAAACCCATGTTTCCAGTTCGGTTTTGAAGTCTTTCTATTTTATGTTTTGCTAAAAAAAATATTAAAAGATGTATAACCCAATCCAACCGTTTTGTGTTGCGCCGTTGACTTATTAAAAACTTGACATATGGGTGTATCCTATAAACACTTGTTTTACGCGGGCTGATCTTGCAGCTTACTATTTTTCCTTAATCTTAACTATTGATTTACCATATGTGCGTATCCTTCCCCAAAGTAGGAGTTTTGAACGTCGAAATTACGCTCAAACTCAGGATTTACAGATCTTTAAAAAGTTTAATATGTCTCAAATGAATCCGAAAGAAGTTTTCCACAACACACTGCATACTCAGTTCAACTACCTTATATAGCCGGTCACTCCCTTTAAGGAAAATGGAACTCTTAGACCCAATTGTGTTGTGTCCTTCTGTCCTTTTTCCGTCAGATATTTACAAAAAAGGGTGGTTTTTAATATTCATTTGTTTCTCTCTTACGTCTATCCTTTCCTTTCGTGTTTTGAAAACTCTGTCCCCGTAAAAAGTCTCTAGTATTCTCCTACATATCTATTTCTTACTTCCTCGTGGAACATGAATATATAAAAGTATTAAAAATTTGTGATGAAAGGATAGCTTTACTAGGAGTGCTGAGATGAAAATACATTATTTACAACGCATAAATGTATAATGTACAATGTATGATATATGATGTATACATGTACACAGATTAGATAACGAATATTAGCATTTATATCGTATTGTATAAAACCTAATTAAGATAAAGAATAGTTTATTAAATTAATAGTGAATAAGCAGAAAAATGTTCATTTTAACTTTTTTTAAACGTTTCAATTTTTTTATGAAAAATTTTCAAAATTGTTATGATTTAGAAGTTTCTTTTCTTTAAAGAAAATATTTTTCATATTTACTTCTAAAGTACTTGTGGGATAAACACCTCAGTGTAAGTGTAAAGCTTTGAACCAAAACAACTGCAAACTGTACATAAGGAGAAAGTCAAATTTGTGCGACGTTACTGTTACAACTTTGTGACCTCGTAGCTCCTCGTTTTAATTTCAATATTTACTTTTGTTTATCGTGAACAGAGATTGAATTAAAATTTCATAACGATGGCATCTAGCCCTGCATGTTAGTCCAGAGTGTGAACATGTAAGAACTATAGGTATTGAATAAAAATTGCAGAACGATGGCATCTAGCCCTGCAAGTTAGTCCACAGTGTAAACAAATTGGGATTTAAATAAAATCCTTGGGTGCAAACGAAAATAATTTATGAAAATTTGTCAGTAAGAAACCTTGGACAATAAAAACAAACAAACTCGTACATTTGCAAATCCGTTTCACANTCTGTTTTTATGTCGAACTCCTCTTTTTTTAGAGTTATTAAAAAGAACAAAAATATTTTTTTTTATTTCTAATAAGTAACTGAATAAATTTATTTTTCTTATATTTGTTCGTAAAATCAAAACAAGAGGAGCGACTTGGACACAAAGTGGTACCAGAAATATTGTACATTCTCCTGCTGCTTGTTCTCAGTGTGTCATGATTAATATAGCAATGATTTTTCCAATGAAAATATATGCATGTTGTTTTTTTATTGTATGTAATTACAGATATTTTTTATATTTCACTGGAGCCTTAACAGTTCTAATAAAATTTATAACTTGAATAAAATATACATTATACAATTTAAATTAAATCTGAAATGACTCTCTTAAACTTTTTAATATGGTTAAAGGATTTGGATAAAAAAAGAAAAAAAAATTAAAATCTTGCGACAATTGATCCTTCCAAAAGAAAAAAATAATGTATTCTCTGCAATGTTAAGAAATCCCGGAAAAATCCGTTATTTGCCGCCACCCCTTGCCGCCAATATATAATTTAGTATTTTTCAGTTTCTCAACATTTAGTGTACAAAAGTATCGAATTTTCCGTTAAAATATGATTGAACCTTTTTAATATAATCGCCATGCAAAATGTCAAAAATTTACTTTACTTCTTTTTGTGAGAAAATTGAATCTTTTAGTTTGCAAGACGTTAAAAAAGTATACATCTACCTAAATGTAAGAAAATAATGAAATCTTATTTAATGTTGCACTTTTTTCTCTTAATTTATCAAATAAAATTAATGTTAAATGTATAATTTGTAAAATGGAAAAATTAAGGCTATGAAAAAAATATATATCCCGTGACGGTATCCGTTAATATCTTAAACAATAAACAAACAAAATTTACATTTCTCCGCACTAAATATTTTTTAATTCATATTTACAATTTATTAAATACTTATTGAATTACCTTCCATACTCTCCTAAGATTGGTCTTTTTTATGTAAATTCACATTTTGCACATGTTATACACAACATAACACAATTTTATAATTTGTCTACTTGAAGTAGTAAATATTTCTCACTTATTCTCATCATGTCTTCACAATAATCTAAATCTTCTGGATATATTTCACTAAAGCTGTAGAAAAGTGGCAATTAAATTTAATTGCTTTTACTGTTTTATGTTTATTTAAGGCGAAATATAATATTTTTGCGGATTTGTATAATATATTCTAAAAGTATATATTAAACCCAACAAGTGTGCAAAGTTTTAGCTTCAAATCTACAGGAATTGCGGCTGCACACTTTTTTGAAAGTTATTTTTTCACACTTTTCATTTTCCCAGTCTCCTTTCCTTTGTTTCTATAAGAACTGAACCTAAAGCCCGGCGTGCCAGTATGGAAGGAGGGTCCGCAGTCTGTCCTGCCGGCTCCAGCAGCCAGCTAGAAAATGCGAGAGCGCGTCGTAGAGATTGTACCGACACGGCTGGAGGGCCCGCAGAATACATTCTACTAAAATTTCAAATTAAATAGGGTACTCGCGGTGTGAAAGAAGCACTTTATGTCAAAATATTAAAAAAAAAACAGAAAAGTTCTCAATATTTAACCTTAATGGCCTTTGAATACGAAAATTCACGTACATATAAAAATTTACATTTATAAAAAATTAAAATTTTAACATGTATAATAATATTTTAACATGTATAATAATATTTTAAAGGTAGATTTCAATTGCCTCTGAAACTGGGACTATATATTAAAAACAATAAATACAGAAAAAAATATGAATTAAAGAGCTATAGAGAAATAAAGGTTTAGAAATATTTATATATGGACATTTTTAGGGTTGTTTACATATTTATATTGTGTTTTAAAATATAACAGGATTATATGAATTTATTAATGAAACATCATTTATATAAAATGGGGCGGTAAGCTAAAACATGTATCATTATTTTATTTAGGAAGGGGGGGAGGGAAGAGTATAAGAGGGAGATGAGGGGGGGGGTTACCTAAAAGTTCATTATTTTTTTCTATGCCTTGATGATTAATAATTTACAGAAATAAATGTTGTAAAAATCTTTTTCTTAATAATAAACAAATGTTTCTATTTTGTTTTTGCATGTCTCTCTAATACCTATATTTTGGGATTGTGAAAATTTTATTTTAAATATAAAAATGAAATGTTAAAATATTTTCATGTTTCACTGAAAACTTTCATAAATTCGTTCAACTTTCCATACTTTAAACTTTTTAGAGAGTTTTTTCTAAATAATTTTTAATAAAAAATGGTGTATTTTATGGGTCGGATTTCTTACTGAGTAAATTTTCCGAAATAGGGTTAATAAAATCAAGAAAATTCCCAAACCTTCTTCTCTCCTCTATATACTAGACCATATATCCCAAAGCAAACACTGAAGGGAGTTCCAGAAAACCATATAGACGCAATTAGACCTTTATATGGAGGGGGGGGGGGCACACAACTTGAGGGGTTTAATCAGACTTGGCATTACGTTGATTTCGTTTATCAAAAATTATAAGGAGCAACAATAATTTATTTTTCGCTTCGAAATTGTAAATGTTACAACTGGCGTGATTGTTTACATTTTGATTTATCAACAATTACGTACTGCGTTTGTAAACATTAACATAAATAAACCGGAACACATAAAAAGATATTCTCTTGACAATTATTAACCACACAAAAAAAATATACAACATGGAAGGAGGAATGAGGAAAGGGGAAAAAGTGTAGCAAATACCTACTCCATAACAATTTTACTCGAGACGTATCTATCCAGGTTGTCAGACAGGACTAACTCTCCGATAGTAAAAATGCCACACATGCAATATCTTAACCAGGCTTTTTCTCCGGTTCTAAAGGACACACAGTCCAAATACTCAACCATGCTTACGGTAGCATTTTCTGTTGTAATGATTATCACGATCTTTATTATCCATGTTATCAATATATCTTATCTATTTCAATTTAACCCTGACTGGCCAATGCGGTCAGTTTAATTTCACCTGTATATAAATAAATTAGTACTACATGAACCTTTGTGTTATACGGACGAATACAGAGCCTTGAGTATTGGATAGAGATTGAGAGCCTTGAGTTTTGGCTAGAGATAGAGTCAGTGAGACTATAATTAGACTTTGATTAGAGTAATCTCGGGACCTAGATTTATTACATTACTCCCTAGTTCTGAAAGCCACACAGGCCATTGAAATTGCTACACAGACAATTTCTCAACCAGGCTTTACTCCCTGGTTCTAAAGGACACACATCTAGATCTGAGATACTTCAACGATAACTATACTCAAAGTCTAATTAGAATCTCACTGACTCTATCTCTAGCCAAAACTCAAGGCTCTCTATCTTTAGCCAAAACTCAAGGCTTGGTATACGTCCGTGTTAATCGACAAATCGTATTGAACTGATTTATTTTATATACAGGTGAAATTAAACTGACCGTAATGGCCAGTCAGGGTCAACATGAAACATGATAAGATAGATAAACGAACATAGATAAATAAGATATTACTAGCATGATTACATAATTCATTACACACAGTCCAAATCTCAGACTCTATATTCAACCAGGACCGACTCTACATGTCACACACCATGCAAACATTTAGTCTCCGACAAACTGATGGCGAGCATAAAGTGTCCAGAATTACAACTTCGCCACTTGCACATAAAGTGGTAAAGATGGGCAGGAACACAAGCACAAGCAGCATAATATAGGACTCAAGCTTAGACTCTAAACTCAATCAGGACTGGCTCTAAATGCCACAAAGGGACACAAGCATCCAATTCATCCAATAGTAAAATTAATTCCATCAATGTCATTGATTAAGACCATCATATTACGTATTTATTGCACAGTTAAGTTCAAGGTACAAATTTAAAGGATTAAAGGGAATAGATTGTCACATGATTTATGCTAATTATTTTAAGTATTCAATTGAAACACAGTTTCAATAAATCATGTCATTATGTCTAGGTTTAGAAATCATTTGTAATGTACAGTATACTGCAATTGTTTACAGAGGTAACCGCCAAAAAAGTCCTTGGAAAAAAAGTTTCTGGGAAAAAGTTCTAAAATTTTACACTTTAAAAGTCCTGTGGAAAAAAAGTCCTTTTATTGAAAAGTCTCCGGAAATGTAGTCCTCCCAATTCGAGACTTTATTTTCTAGGACTTTTTTCTGGCTCCAGTATGATTTTATACAAAAAAGTCCTCGGAAAAAAGTCCTCTAACAAGTTAATCGCATGATTCACAATCGAAAAAGTCCTGGTTGTAAGCATCCTATCAATAATCGTAGGTTTTCATTACTTAACTGTATGTTGGCAAGGGTAAATAATTTTCAAAAAAGAAATATAAAATATATTTATTACATATTTATATATTTATCACGCGTTTAGTTAGCACTTTCTTTTTCATATTACTTAGGAATATAAAACTAGCCCTGTATATGATGTACATAGTACACTTGTACGGGGGATTTTATACACAACTTTTCTTAGGACTTTTTTTCCGCAGACTTAAATTACTGAGTTCAACTTTCCCGAGACTTAGGACTTTTTCTAGGTTTTTCTTTTCCTCGGATTTATTTTCTTCAGGACTTTTTTTCCTGAGACTGGCAGCCCTCATACTAGTTTAGGAAAAAAGTCCCAGGAATCCAAAACAAGGACTTTATTTCCAGTGACATTTTTCTCAAGGGCTTGAGAAAATTTGGACCAAAGTTTTTATTTCCAGGTTTTTTTTTCCAAAAATTTTTTTCCAGGGACTTTCTTAAATAGATTTGTTTACAGAATATCATGTTTACACGCTTTTTGCTACACATGGGGGGGGGGGGGATTGGAGAAAAATAGGGTTACATATATATATATATATGTGTGAGCCGAACAAAAGGAATAATACTCGAAAGAGGGAAATAAGGCGAATTGGCAAGGAAAACACTCTTTTCTACCAGACACACATAGACGAGAACATGTATATTTCAGTAACAAGGTTTCCTACAAAATACAAATTGTTATTGGCGTACATGCATTTAAATAATAATTGTTAATAAAGATTAAACAATTGAAGGTTTTATCAATAAATGAGTATTGTTGTGAATCGAACAATTGGTTTAGAAACATGTACCATTGAGAATTGAACAAAGGCTTACAGGTATTGGAATTCTAGGTTTTGTAGGTTTAGCAGGAATGACTTGTTTTTGTCACAATACACCTCTTAAATGCATTTGTCTTGTGTTTCATGGTGAGAATGGACAAAATGAATAAATTCTGATAAGCTTTTCATTTAAAAACATTGTTTGAAATATAGCTTGCATTAATTTATAATTATTTAAATTTATAATTACTTTTCCAGTTCATATATTTATCCTTGAATGGATCCTGTAAACCCGCAATATATCTAGATGTCGTCTTTGTTACAGCAAGAGAAAAGAACAGAGAAGAAAAACAAAACAAACTCCGCAAAAAAATGTCTAAATTAATTTTGTTTGCTCATCAATAAAGAGATTTTTTAAACTATTCTTTTATTTACACAATTGTCTTGTCTATTTCTGTGTTTTTGTTTTTGGACTTAAAATTTTCACTGTCAAATTCTCTTTTGGATATTTTAATTTTTAAAAGGGTCATGAAAAAAGTGGACATTTATTACTTTTTAAAATGAACCAATGTAAACAAAAAAAAACAAAACGATTTATAATGGCGACTTTCAGAATAACAGTTAACCCTGTAAAGGCGGGGGGGGGACCCTGCATGCCCCCCCTGGAAAATACAAAATTAAAAGTAAACTACGTTTAAAAAGTAACACCTGACAATGACAAAGACTAAGGATTTGTCTAAATTCACTGTAAATAAAATTTTTTAGGATACTTTAAACTACAGGGTGTCCCAAAAAACATGGGAATTCAGTGACGAATTCGATATCGTCTATAAAATAATCGAATTTTTTTGTTCAAATTTATTTTTTTTCAAATTTTTTTTTCTATGTGCAATGCTGGGCCCCTCAGCTAACTCTATATAATAAAACAAGACATTCATATGTTGTGTATAGCCGGCCAAATCGGCAGGACCTTGGGCTGAAATTTTTTGTGGACTCTCATGGGTGGCGGGGGATGTTAGAAAAATCGAAATTTATTTTTAAATTTTTTTAAAAATTTTTTTCCACTGAATAACTATTAACCCATTGTTTTTACATTGAAGTCATTTTCTAATTATGTTCTCATGCATCTCCTATACTTATCACATTTTCCATTATAAAAAAGGGCGGGTTGCGGTCTATTTAAATTCTATGATTCCCCCCCCTGGAATTCTCTGTACTGCAAACTAGTAATCTCTGTTTGTCTGTTGTTTTGTATATCTGATCATAACTAGCACCCCTTCACCGATTTGACTCAATTGTTGATTGGAGAAAATGTTAGAATTATGTTTTTGGCTTGGGCAAAAATATTTAAGTTTAGTGGATTGATTTTTATTAGGATAATCCATTTTCCAAGAAATGAATTCCGAAGCTAGTGATTTTTTTTCTTAAATTATTTAAGGTTGATGAGTAGTTGTTTACAAGAGCACTAGGTTAATATCCTGTTATTGTACAGGTAAGATTGTAAAAACCAAAGAACAATCTGAAACAAAGATATACAAGAAAAGTATCCATATCCATGTGAGAAATGTGATTATATGGCAACACAAGCTGAAAGTCTCAAACTCCTTATTGATGGTGTTCATATAGGAGTGAGATATCCATGTGACCACTGCGAATACGCTGCAACTACAAAAAAGTTTGAAAAACATGTTAAATATAAACATGAAGGAGTGAGATATCCCTGCGACCAGTGTGATTACGCTGCAATTACAGCAGGTTGTTTAAAGAAACATATTGAAATAAACATGAAGGTGTCAGATATCCCTTTGACCAGTGTAAATACTTTGCCACTACAGTAGGTTATCTGAGGAAACACATTGAAAATAAACATGAAGGTGTCAAATATCCCTGTAAACAATGTGATTATGTTTTTACTGGTGCAAGTAATCTGAAGAAACATACTGAAACAAACAAGAGGTGTCAGATATCCCTGTGACCAGTGTGAATACTTTGTCACTACAGCAGGTTATCTGAGGAAACATATTGAAAATAAACATGAAGGTGTCAGATATCCCTGTGACCAGTGTAAATACTTTGCCACTACAACAGGTTATCTGAGGAAACACATTGAAAATAAACATGAAAGTGTCAGATATCCCTTTAAACAATGTGATTATGTTTTTACTGGTGAAAGTAATCTGAAGAAACATATTGAAAATAAAATTGAAATATCCTTGTGACAAATGTATGTACGCTGCCACTGTATCAAGCGATCTGAAACATAATAAACATAATAATATCATTTCTGCCATTGTTTTACCCAAGGTTCAAATACAATATATTCATCTTTCTATTTATTCATTCATTATTATTAATATTTACTTTTCTGTTCTGTAATATTAAAACTCAACAAATAATATTGATTTAAATATTAGAAAAATATGCTCCTCCCTTCTTTTTATATTTTCGTTATTCCCTAAATCAGATTTATGTTTGTCAGTTTGACTATTATTTACACTGTAGATCCTTAATAACTTGACAAAATTTAGTTCCGAAAGATTAAGTCTCGATCCGAATTGCTTTTGTTTAATAACAATATTTTTTGTTTGTACTAATAGTTTTATTAGTATAGATATTTTAATAAGATTGATACATTTCAGTATTTCACATGTTTAGTCGGTCTTTTATATTTCATATAGAATGGCAGAGATTAAAAAAGAAGAGATGGTTATGGAAGAAATAGACATAAAGAAAGAAGAAATTTTCGTTAAGGAAGAACTTTGTTCATCTTCTAGTTTAGAGGAAACATGTACATGGGATGTACAGGAAGAAGATATTCAGATGGAAAATAGAGAATTGAAAGGTAAAGATAAATAATGAAAGCGACAAAAACATGTGACTAATTTTAATAAACATTTTATGCTTTTATGATTGGAATTTTTTAAAACAATTTCAGTTGATAGATATGTATTAAACTTAATATTTATATATATTAATTTTATGGAAGTTTAATTTAGAATTTATTACACCGTTACACGAATTTAATTTTAGATGGAAATACTGGAAATAAAACAAAAGAAATAAAGTTGGAAGAGTTTGAGATGAAAGAAGGAACAGTTTCCATCAAGGAAGAAATTCTTCCAGGTTCTACAGTAGAAGATACTTGTACAGTTTATGTACAGGGAGCAGGTTCTACTGTAGAAGATTCTTGTACAGTTTATGTACAGGGAGCTGGTTCTACGGTAGAAGATACTTGTACAGTTTTTGTACAGGGGGAGAGCATTAAAAGAGAAAGTGTAGATATTAAAAGTAAGAAACAGAGAATTATCTTTCAGTTAAATAAAATCTATTTCAATATATTCGCTAGATATTATTATTAGTTATTTCTATTTAATTTTTAGATAAAAGCATTGATAATGAAAAAGATCCTCTTTACGCCGAACCTCAGAGACTGAAGAAGAGTGAACATAAAATAGGAAAATACACTTGTAAGGATTGTGATTATGAGGCTACCTTAGCTTCACATCTGAAGACACATATTAAAAATGAACATAAAGGTGTGAGATATCCCTGTGACCAGTGTAAACATGCATATACCACATTGGGTGTTCTAAAGAAACATATTAAAAGTAAACATGAAGGAGCAAAGTACCCCTGCAAGCATTGTGCTTATTCTGCAACATACAGAAATAATTTAAAAAGACATATTGAGAGAAAGCATGAAATAATTAGATATCCCTGTAAGCAATGTAAGTATGTCGCCACTACTTCAAATGATTTAAAGAAGCATATTCAACATAAACATGAAGGAGGGGGATATCCCTGTGATCGTTGTAATTATGCTGGTTCCACAGCAGGTAATCTAAGGAAACATGTTGAGAGTAATCATGAAGGAGTAAGATATCCATGTGACCAGTGTAAATACGCTGCTACTACAGTTCGTAATCTAAGAAGACATATTGAATATAAACATGCAGAAGTGAGATATCCCTGTGACCATTGTAAATATGCTGCCACTACTACAGAAGCTCTGAAGAATCATATTCTAAATAAACATGAAGGAGTGAGATATCCCTGTGACCAATGTGAATACGCGGCCACTAGCACAAGTAGTCTAAAGAAGCATATTACACATATACATGAAGGGGTGAAATATCTCTGTGATCAGTGTGAATACACTGCTTCTTCTTTAGGAAATCTAAGGAATCACATCGAGAGTAAACATGAAGGAAAAAGATATCCCTGTGACCAATGTGATTACGCTGCCACTAAAGCAGGCCATCTAAAGAGTCATATTAAAATTAAACATGAAGGAGTGACATATCCTTGTGACCAATGTGATTACGCTTCTACTAAAGCAGGCCATCTAAAGAGTCATATTAAAAATAAACATGAAGGAGTGACATATCCATGTGATCAGTGTAAATACGCTGCTACTACAGCTGGTAATCTGAAGATCCATATTAAAAATAAACATGAAGGAGTGACATATTCATGTGATCAGTGTGAGTACGCTGCTACTACAACTGGTAATCTAAAGACCCATGTTAAAAATAAACATTAAATATCTATGTGACCAACTTGTGATTGATGATGATTATATAGATAAGAACCATTGTATTTATTCATCCTGAGATTACAGTCTCTAACCTGAAATAGAATGAGCAAAATGTTTTTTCAAATTTTAGCTGAATGGATAGTTTACAGTTTTTAATATTTGGGGTTGAATTTAACAAAAAATTCTTGATTTAGGGATGTTAAAATTAAAATTTGATTTTATGTTATAACTTAATCCATCTCACATATATACACATTACACATTACAATTTATTAGCTCAATTCATTGATTTTAAATTTCTTATTTTAATTTTTGTCAATATTTTTTTATATGTACAAATATGTACCCAAGCTAACCTTCCAGGTTGCAGAGCCCAACCCAAGGCAACGTTCCCTAATATCATGTCGTGCTCGTTCAAGGTTTGTACTTGATTTCCTAAATTAGGCTCTTTAGTTCCTTGGAACCTCCTGAGAAGTTTCCCTGCATTAAGAGGCAATTTTATATATATTGTCAATTCAAACAACAATTAAAAATGCTTCCTTTAATTTGTTTTAGATTAATATCAACCTGGAATACACAAAATTTTGTTTTGAGTTTGAAAAAATTTGATAATTTTTTCTATAAAATGCATACTGGAAGTACTAATCACAAATGATTATATAGACACAATGTTTAAAGTATCTATTTATCTTTATAAGTAAAATTGATGTTTTCTGTAAAATTGATGGATCAGTCAATTCTTTTTAGAATAAATATAAGTTTAGAGGGCTTTACAGAGGAGCAGTGCTGTTGAACACAAAATTAATTAAACTGTGATAACTATTACAATTAATTAAATGAGTTATATCTCCTGTCTGTGCATTTCTTACCTTATCTTCAAATGCAGTAGGTAATCTGAGGAGACATATTAAAATGAATTATAATAATTGAGATATATTCCTAAAACGAGTATATTTATTCATGTTGTAACTACAATATATGATCTTCAGAAGAAATTTAATTCATATAAGTCGACTTGTTAAACATTTAAATTTGAAGCAATATTCATTTAATCTTCAAAATGTCAACATATTTCACTGTAATTAGGTTTTGAAAAATGTTTTTTTTAATTAAGATTAACGATTGTGTTTGTAATAATGCAATGTTTTTATTAAAATATTTAGATTTATTATGTAAGATAAAGTCTCTAATATTTCAGATAGAATGGCAGAGAATATAAAAGAAGAAGTTTTCATTAAGGAAGAACTTGTTCCATCTTTTAGCTTAGAGGAAACAAGTACTTGGGATGTGCAGAAAGAAGATGTCAAGATGGAAAATACAGATAATAAAGGTAGATATTTATCACCCAATGTTTATCATTTATTCAAACTATAAATTTTATTAGATTTCTGACTAAAATTCCTAAATCTAGCAGCTTTTGTTGTACAAACATTTCAAAATATATAACAATGGTTTTATTTTAGATAATACTGGTGGTAAAACAAAACAAGAAATAATGTTGGAGAAGCTTGTGATGAAAGAAGAAACTTTTTCCATCAAGGAAGAAATTCTTCCAGGATCTACTGTAGAAGATACTTGTACAGTTTATGTACAAGGCGAGAGAATTAAAAGAGAAATTTCAGATATTAAAAGTAAGGATGATATTGACCTTTTTGAATTGATCTTTTTTGCTTTTAAAACATTATCTAATCTTTCTTGAGCTAGACTGTACCTGGGGTCCCGGCCAGCAGAAGTGGTATAAGAGAAGAGAAGGAGGTTAGCAAGTATCCTGACACCAAGACTTAGATCATTAGGATAGGGGGGAAGAATTGCAGGGGTTGTTGTCTAGAGTGCAGTAAAGGGTTTAAGGGTTTTGCGGGATGTTGCGGAATAGAAGAACTTTAGAGAGGGTAATGTAGTGAGATAAGTTTAGATGAGTAGGTAAATGGTAAGTAGTTCTAAACTGCAATACAAGGTAAGGGCAAAGGAAAGAAAAATAGGATAAGATAATAATAAAAACTAGGTAAAGTAAGACAACTAGGTAAAAACAGAAGGGTGGAGGGTGGTTTTTACTGAGACACTGGTAGAGGGAAAGGTGTGATCAAGCCGAGGTTATAAGTTATAAGAGACTAGTCGGGTCCATAGACAGGTAGAGAGAGAGAGAGAGAGAAAAGTAGAGCCGGGCAGGATGGGACCATGTGGGCGGGCGAAGGCCACGTACAGTAGCGCAAAGTAGAATATTTGTTTTTTTTTCAGGGTGCTCCTGAATGTCGTCTTCCTCACTCAGTTTAACCAACTGCCATTCTTTCTAGTCGTCTAAACAAGCATTTGAAAGATCTTAAAAGCTAAATGAAACTTTTGGAAAAATTATTGTCTCTTTATATTTTTTTCTTCTTCTTTTCCTCTCTTTTGACACGGTGGCGACTATTTTGAAAATTCACACACGAGTCTTTTATACAAACCTGGAAAGAAATTTTACGAACATTTTTATGAACACTTCATAAATTTGTTTTCTAAAAATACCCGGATCTTTATTGTTAATTGGGAGTGTTAATGGTTTTAGTAGAGATTTCTCGTTGTCATCTAAACCTAAATTTTTAACCCTTTTTTTCTTTTTATAAAAGGACAAATTCTATGAATACGTCCATGCCCCCACCCCCTCCACCTAAATTTTACAACTCAATGATTATTATGAATTTTTTAGATGAAAGTATTAATGACAAAGAAGATCCTCATTTCACTGAACCAAAGAGATGCAAGAAGAGTAAACTGGGAAAACAAACATATCCCTGTGAGAAATGTGATTATGTGGCAGCCAGCGCTAAAAATCTCAAGAGACATGTGCACAGTATGCATGAAGGAGTGATATATCCTTGTGATCAGTGTGAATACTCTGCCACTACAACAGGTTCTCTGAAAAAGCATATTGAAAATAAACATGAAGGTGTTAGATACACTTGTGTCCAGTGTGTATATGCTGCCACTACAGCAGAATATCTGAGGAAACATATTAAAAATAAACATGAAGATGTAAGATATCCCTGTGATCAGTGTAAATACTGTGCCACTACAGCAGGTACTTTGAAGAGACATTTTGAAAATAAACATGAAGGAGTGAGATATCCCTGTGACCAGTGTGAATACGTTGCTACTACAGTTGGAAGTTTAAAAAGACATATTAAATATAAACATGAAGGAGTGAGATATTTCTGTGGTCAGTGCGATTATGCCGCTACAACAAAAGATGGTCTTAAGAAACATATTGAATATAAACATGAAGGAGTGAGATATCCATGTGAACATTGTGAATATTCTGCTATTACAGCAAGTAAACTTAAGAAACATATCGAAAACAAACATGAAGGAGTGAGATATTCCTGCAATCAGTGTGAATACGCTGCCACCACCACATCTGATCTAACGAAACATATTGAACGTAAACATAAAGGAATGAGATATCCATGTGACCAATGTAAATACACGGCCTCAACAGCTGGAGATCTTAATAAACATTTCAGACATAAACATGAAGGAGTAAGATATCCCTGTGACCAGTGTGAACATGCTGCTATTACGGAAAGTAGTCTAAAGAAACACGTTGAAAATAAACATGAAGGAGTAAGATATCCCTGTGCCCAGTGTAAATACGCTGCCACTACAGCAGCTCATCTGAAGAAACACATTGAAAATAAACATGAAGGAGTGCGATATCCTTGTGACCAGTGTGATTATGCCGCTACTGAAGTGGGTAGCCTGAGGAGACATATTAGAAGTAAACATGACCTACTGCAACAACTGATCTGAAGAAACGTATTGAAAATGAACAAGAAGTCGAGTGAAACGAAACATCCAAGTGACCAGTGTGTGTACGCTGCTCCCTCATACAAGTAATCTAAAGAGACATAAAGAGAGTAAACACTAAACACACCAATTGAGAACTCCATGCTATAATTCACTTTTCACAGTAAACTGCTTTTGTTTTAAAAATCATAACTCTATTTATATTTCCATTGAACACGTAGGCCATTTTAAATTCATTCTCAACAACTTTCTTTAAAGTTGAATCTTAACATTCTGTCGTTTTATGATTTTTCTCTAATGTCCTTTTTTGTCTGAAAACATTATGTGTTTGGTTAATATCAAACAGTTTCTTGTTAATTTGTGGATTCATTAAAATTTCAAAATAGTTGTTAAACCCAACCATCTACAAGCAATCCAAAGAGCCATATGGCAGGTCCTTTAAATAATGTGGTTCAGTAAGTTCTGCCAATTCTGTATGTGTAATAGAAAAACTGTTCTGGCACTGGTTGATAAACGCTTTTCTGGTAAATTTAGCTTTTAAGAAAACATTTTAAACGTATAATTTCAATTTATTTTAAAATGAAACTATTAAAGATGCGACGCAAGAAATAAAGTTGGAAGAGTTTGAGATGAAAGAAGAAACAGTTTCCATCAAGGAAGAACTTCTTCCAGTTTCTACTGTAGAAGATATTTGTACAGTTTATGTACAGGGAACAGGTTCTACTTTAGAAAATACTTGTACAGTATATGTACATGGTGTAGGTTCTACTGTAGAAGTTACTTGTATAGTTTATGTACAGAGGGAGAGCATCAAAAGAGAAAGAATAGAAATGATAATCAAAGTAAGAATAAGTTTTTTTGCTGTGAAACAAAACTTATTCTTTCAAAATAATGATTTGTAACACCAAAATATGAATAATATTGTCAATAATTTTAAAACTGTATATTGCAACTAAGATTTGATTCACCCTTAAAAAAAATATAAAAATATCTATCTATCTATCTATCTATCTATTTATCTATCTACAGGGTGTCCCAAAAAACATGGGAATTCAGTGAAGAATTGGATATCGTCTGTTATGAATTAGCATTGTAATACCTAATTTCAAAAGCCATAATATTATTATGTCTGCTAGAGTTTATTTTATGAAAAGGGTAAAAGACTGTAAAGATGTGTCTATAATGTCTCCACAAGACGAAAAGTGAAGACGGACAAGTTTAACCTGCTTGTATACTGCAATTTTCTTGTTTTACTAAGTACAACCGTATGCAGTCAAAACATAAACAAACAAAATGTGAACATAGCAGACGAAACTCTTACAGATTACAACTTTCTCAGTAGGTATCACTATAATAAATCAAAGAATTATTTAAAAAGACGATATCGAATTCGTCACTGAATTCCCATGTTTATTGGGACACCCTGTATCTATCCATCCATCCATCCATCCATTTATCATTCATCCTTCCATCCACCTATCTATCCATCCATCCGTCGTCTGTCTGTCTGTCTGTCTTGGTGTCTGTCTGTCTGTCTGCCTGCCTGCCTGCCTGCCTGTCTATCTATCTATCTATCTATCTATTATCTGGTTGGTTGGCTACCAATACAGTGGTTAATATTTTCACTCTTGGATTCTCTGGTTACTACAATACCAGAGTTCTTGGATTCTCCGGTTACTACAGTACCAGACTAATTGGATTCTCTGGTTACTACAGTACCAGACTCCTTGGATTCACAGGTTACCACAGTACCAGACTCCTTGGATTCTCTGGTTACTACAGTACCAGACTCCTTGGATTTACAGGTTACCACAGTACCAGACTCCTTGGATTCTCTGGTTACTACAGTACCAGACTCCTTGGATTCTATGGTTACTACAGTACCAGACTCCTTGGATTCTCTGGTTACTACAGTACCAGACTCCTTGGATTCTCTGGTTACTACAATAACAGACCCCTTGGATGCTCTGGTTACTACTGTACCAGACTCCTTGGATTCACAGGTTACCACAGTACCAGACTCCTTGGATTCTCTGGTTACTACAGCACCAGACTCCTTGGATTCTCTGGTTACTACAGTACCAGACTCCTTGGATTCTCTGGTTACTACAATAACAGACCCCTTGGATTCTCTGGTTACTACTGTACCAGACTCCTTGGATTCTCTGGTTACTACTGTACCAGACTCCTTGGATTCTCTGGTTTACTACAGTACCAGACTCCTGGGATTCTTTGGTTATTACAATACCAGACTCCTTGGATTCTCTGGTTACTACAGTACCAGACTCCTTGAATTCTCTGGATACTACAGTACCAGATTCATTGGATTCTTTGACCAGACTCCTTGGATTCTTTGGTTACTACAATACCAGACTCCTTGGATTCTCTGGTTGCTACAGTACCAGACTCTTTGGATTCTCTGGTTACTACTGTACCAGACTCCTTGGATTCTCTGGTTACTACAGTACCAGACTCCTGGGATTCTTTGGTTATTACAATACCAGACTCCTTGGATTCTCTGGTTACTACAGTACCAGACTCCTTGGATTCTCTTGTTACTACAGTACCAGACTCCTTGGATTCTCTGGATACTACAGTACCAGATTCATTGGATTCTTTGACCAGACTCCTTGGATTCTTTGATTACTACATTACCAGACTCCTTGGATTCTCTGGTTGCTACAGTACCAGACTCCTTGGATTCTTTGGTTACTTTATTTTACTTGGATTCTCTGGTTACAACAGTACCAGACTCCTTGAATTTTCTGGTTACTCTGTACCAGACTCCCTGGATTCTCTGGCTACTGTACCAGACTCCTTGGATTCTCTGGAAATACAGTACCTGACTTCTTGGATTCCCTGCTTACTCTGTACCAGACTCCTTGGATTCTCTGGTTACTACTGTACCAGACTCCTTGGATTCTCTGGTTACTACTGTACCAGACTCCTTGGATTCTCTGGTTACAAAGTACCAGACTGCTTGGGTTCTCTGGTGACTACTGCATCAGACTCCTTGGATTATCTAATTACTGTACCTCACTCCATGGATTCTCTGGTGAATACTGTACCAGACTCCTTGGATTCTCTGGTTACTACTGTACCAGACTCCTTGGATTCTCTGGTTACTACAGTACCAGACTACTTGAATTCTCTGGTTACTACTGTACCAGACTCCTTGGATTATCTGGTTACTGTACCAGACTCCTTGAATTCTCTGGTTACTACAGTACCAGACTCCTTGAATTCTCTGGTTACTACTGTACCAAACTCCTTGGATTCTCTGGCTACTGTACCAGACTCCTTGGATTATATGGCTACTGTACCAGACTCCATGGTAAATTACTTTCGTCATGTTTCCTAACATATACATTAAATCATTTATTAAACATTTTTACTCGTAAATCTTGGAATTAAAATATTCTTCTGTTCGGCATCAGACCTGAGAATGTAACTTACAGTGATATCCAGAAAACTCTGGAATAGAAAGTCGACTTTTAGACTCAATTTATGACTTTAATAGTACACTGAACATGAGGCACATTAATTGTGCAATGCAAACAAACCCATTTCACTTAGTGATTTAGCAATTTACTGTTAAGCTATCTGCTTTTTAACAGCATCAAATGCATTTTAGTATTGCTTTAATGTCGTCTTCCTATTCTACAGTTTTCTGAAATTTTAATTCTGTCTGAAGCGCGCCTAATCGGTTTCCTTCCGCACTTAATTTTCTGCAGGTTGTTGGATATATTGAGTTTAGTCAATCTGAAACCATTCCAAACAAAAGTTTTCCACTCCGCGCCGGTCAAAGCCGGGTTTCTTGTAAATATACTGGTTCTACCTTTTCATTTTCTGCATGTTTCTCCTTTATCAACTCGAAAAGCAATATTTGAAGTTTTGTTCTTTTTAAAATCATTGAACAAATTTGGTGGAGTAAAAACCTGGAAATAAAAGTCCCAAGATAAAATATCCTAGTTAAGTTACTGCAAAATTGCGCAAGTCAAGTTTGCAGAGAAACCACAACAACAGAAACGTTTGGGTACCGTAGGGTTTACCGTTGTGAATTGTGCATACCACTCTCGTAATGGAGGGTCACTCAAAAGTACGTTGAAAAGTGCCGTTTTTAGGTTACCCTGATTATAAGTTGTAAAAACAAATTCCAAAAAGTTACATTTTTTAGACTATAACATCGTTTTTAGGCTACTACCGAATAGATTAGTTTTGTTTTAATATTTGAGCTTTAATGTCGTCTTTATAATTCCTCGTTCTTGACTGATTGTAATTATAATGTATAAGACAAATAATTTATTCATAATATTTCATAATATTTAGAAAACTTATATAAAGGATGTCGTCATAATAATTGGAATAAATAAATATATTTTTACAATCATGAAGTTTTGAAGGAGGTTTTTCAAACAAAATTTTTTTGATTATTCACATTTTGGTTGACTATTGGTCAAAATACAATGATTATAATTGCTAGGTTTAATTTGCTTTGAATAGGTTCTTTTTAATGGTTGATTCCTTTGTGAGGTATGAAAATATCGAGATAGTTCCTAATAGTTTAATTTTGTTGGTTCAAGTCAAAGTCTAGACAGTTCCCAATAGTTAAATTTCCTTGGTTCAGGTAAAAGTCAAAATACAGTGAGAATCAGAAAACTCTGGAATAGGAAGACGACTTTTTTGCTCAAGGCATGATCTTAATAGTTTAATGAACATGAGACACAACAAGTGTGCAGTCTAAAAAGCCACACTTAACGTTACAAGCTATTTGCTTTGTAACAGCATAAGTATTAATAAAATGCCTTCTTCCTGTTCCACAGTTTTCTGTTTGATTTCTTTGGTTCAGACATAAGTCTAGATAATTCCGAACAGTTTAATTTCCTTGGTTCAGGTATGGTGCCCAAATAATTCATATTAGTAAGATTTTCTTGTATAATGTCCATGGGTCAGAAAAAGCGTCCAGATAGTTCCTCTAAGTATAGTTTCCTTGGTTAAGAAAGAACGTCCAGATACATGCTCTAAGTTCAATTTCCTTGATTCAGATAGAGAATCTAGTTAGTTCACTTCAATTTCTTTGGTTTATGTTTAAGTCTAGATAGTTCCTCTCGGTATAATTTCCTTGGTTTAGAAAGAGCGTCCAGATACTTCCTTTAAGTTCAATTTCCTTGAATCAGGTATAGAATCTAGATAGTTCATTTTAATTTCATTGATTTATTGTACTATATGAAAGAAATCTAACTACCTTATACTAATAAGGACTAAATAAAGTTCATCCCGATCCAGATATTAAGCGAAGTACGTTACAAACAATTTATTAATAATTCAAAGATAGCAAACGAATTTTGATATGAAGATGACAGGGAACTTGAGCTACGATAGAATTCCAACCAACTCTTCAATCTTTCTTCACTCCTTGGCTTGGATGTTCGTCGTCAACTGCCTCTAGTTTCTGTACCGGCTGACCAGCTCACCCCTCTCGGAATTCCCTGATCTCTCCAAAATACCAGGTGAATGCCCCCGGAACCCTGTATACACGGGCCCCTTGCTTTAGCGTCAGGTCAAACTAGAGCTTTCCCGCCTCACTATACAACATAAAAATTAGGGATACCCTCACTTATCATCAAAAATATCGTTAGAAATCTCCATACAAACCAGCCTACAGGAGAACATTTTAACATTCCTGGACATGAACTCTACCATCTAAAAGTTAGCGCTCTAGAGAAGGTTGGAGACCACGGAAGAAGTTTACTTGAAGTACGAGAATCTAAATACATCAGGATTTTATGACTGAACTCAGAGGAATGAGCAGAAAAAAATAGTTTTTATTTAATTGTTAACTGTAATTCAGTATGTTTTTTTAAACGAGTTTTTATGTCCAATTCTTTTAAAAGGTTTAAATACCCCTCCTTAAACAAGCTGTTCTCCCCTAACCCCGACTTATGCAAAAGTTCGTTA